AAGACACAAAAATTGACAGAAACTATGTCTTCAGGTAATCAGGTGTGCAGTGTCCTCACTAGATACTAAAAAGAAAACCAAGCATGGAGAACAATGTGACTAAAGCATACTTCAGGAATCCACCAGAATTCATTTAAGAGAGAGCCCAGATTCCATACACAGGAATGAACTTCCCCAGGGAATAATCTGAACCTAAGGGATGAAGACCCTTAGGCCTCATGACATTTGTGGCTAATGAGAGGCTGCATGGTGGGTGCATAAAAGCTACCCAGGACAGGGAGCCAGACACGAGAAGAGAAAGAAGGGCATAGCAGTCAGGATAAATGAGTTTAAGGAGAGAAGGGCATTGGTGACTCAGACAGAATTATCTGGTCCATGACATTACCTCAGCTCAAGGATACCCAGGGAATCCCCAAGAGTCAATCTTCCCCAGTTCCCAGGGGATGGAGGCACTATACTAGCCAGAGAAGTACTGTAGGCACCATAGGAACTGGGGCTTCCAAGGAGGCAGGAGGGAAGAGCAGAGCTTCACCTATGCCCAGCAGCTGTTGCCCTCGCTTGGTCACTATTACCATCTCCCCACACATGCCCTGGGTAAGTGCCTCACAGAGTGCTGTGCAGCCTTGGTCTTTAACTTTTTAGAACTCTGTTTCATTTCTCTAGAAATGTTAGACCCTTCCAGGGACTGGAACAAGAGAAGAGCAGTAGAATGACTGGGCCTTGCGTTTGAGGAGCCATATTCTGTCCCTGGACTTGGCAGAAACAGTCCAGAAGACAATTCTTGAAACTTTACTATTTATTTCTTTGGCAGAGGTATGAGTCCAGTGCCATCAACCTTACTGGGCAAAGCAAAGGGCTGGGAAGGAGATTAGGAATGATGGACAATGTCTCATATTTGTCATGTGTCTCAGAGGATGTAAAATGTGGGTGAGACACTGTGTCGTACACACAGATCTGCGGGTTTGGACATGGTATGTTAATCAGGCAGTCACTGTAGCCTCCATACCTGCTTATGGTCAGTGTCTCTCGGGCACCTACTAATGTTCCCTATCTCAGAGTCCACAGATAGAGCTGAATGCATTCTCCTGGTAGCCTATATCCACCCCAATACACACCACACACACACACACACACACACACACACACACACACACACACCCCACATCTCTTATTAGTTTAGGGGAAAAAAACAAAGGTGAGAAGTCCATCCATGCTCCCAGTCCTTCTATCTCTATGACATATCCTCTCTGCATTTTCCACAGCCTCTGCTTGGCTGCAGTACCCCAGTGCCTTTGTACCCGAGATGTCAAGCCTATCCCTCCAGTGCTGCTTTCTACTCCATTCACCCTGTAAGGTCCTTACCTCTTGCATTCAAAGGTCACAGAACCAAATAGTCATACAACCACCCAGCCACACCTCTGCCAATTAAACACAGTTTCCCTGTCACTCCACCTATGTACCTATTAGCTGATCGATTTATCCACCTGCCTGTCTCACAAAGGCATATTAAAGATACAGAGATTGTTTTTCTACTTAATAAGAGTCATAGGTAAGTGTAAATGGGGAGTTGTTGCATGAGTACACTACGTGTTTTGATTTGCAAATGTTGTGGAGATCCATTGCACAATAATGTGACTAATAATGCACTAAACTGTATATACTGAAATGATGTTTTATATGTTTTCACAATAATTAAAAATAAAACTGAAAGTAAAGGAAGGACTAGAGAATGGAAAGGGAGCCACTGATGAAGGGGAAGTAGGGGAGGAAAAGAGAGAATAGAAGGGTGAGTGGACAGCTAATATGTGCATGCAAGGTAATATCAGTATCACAGTGATGCTTAATATTTTGAACAATTAAATTCATTAATAGTTACAATTTTAAAACCAGCAAGCAAAAGTGACAATGGTCAATTAGTTATAATTTATTTTTACTATGCACATAGAAATTTACTTCATATTAGAATAAAATAACAAAATATATAGTTTTTTTTTAAAAAGGAAGAAAACAGCTGAACGTGGTTGCACGTGTCTAACTCTAGCACTCTGAGACAGCGGCAGGAAGACTGAAAGTTCAAGCCCAGAGAGATTTAGCAAGACCCTGTCTCAAAAATTTTTAAAAAGGAAACTTTAAGGAATGTAAATGTAGTTCAGTGTAACGGTCCTGAGTTCACCTCCAGTACCAAAAAATAATCATTATCCTGCCTGTGACCCAAGAGGGAGTTAATCTGTCTTCTATGTTCCTCTGTGGGAAAAAAGGATAACAGTGGCTTCAGTGCCAGTTTCTCTGTGAAGATTTTTTTTCACTGTGTTAGGACATTTTTGGAAAGAAGAGAAGTTGAAGAAGGAAATTAACAGCCTCGAAATGAAAACAGAGAAGAGGGGAGCAGACATCAGTGAAGGAAAGAGCAAAGTATACAGGAGAACTTGCCTCCTCACACCTATAGGTGATTTCTTGGGATAGAATGTAGTCAGAAGACTGACAGTAAATAAAGATTCACAGTGTGGAGAAGAGAGGTCCCAGTGAGGGTGGACAGGATCCAGAAGCAGCCTGGATTTACTCAGGAAAGAAAGACTAAGATGCCACTCAGGCATCCATTAGAGGAACACAAAAACATGCATAATAAGGCAAGACCTATAATAATGTCCATAACCCTACCCAGTAATTACATGCCTAGGATTCATGTTCAAAGAATATGTTGACAGAAGCAAATGATTTGCATCGCTTATCTACGATGCAAAAATATGGACCAGCTTAAATCACAATAGTATGAGAAGTGCTTTTTAAATGTTAATGGAAAAATTCAGTGGATACAACAAGAACATTTTTTTAAAAAAAGGATCATTCAGAATATTATGTGGTCTCATGGCAAAAGTTTACAGTAAACACTACAAAAAGATAACAAGAAGACAAAATATTATACAAGCTATTATTACAATTGTGTAAAATGAGTTTGCAGTGGAACAAAGACTTTAAGGTGGTACAACAAAGAAAACAATTTAACTAAGGTGATCGAATCATGAATGACCGCATTACAAATATTTCTTAAGTATTCTGAAAAAATAACCTCTAAAATTTTTCAAACAGCGTATCTTTCCCATATTATACAACTGATGTGGGCATGTGAAAGATTATTGACCAATGAATCTGGACATTCCTGTCTAGACTCACTAGTTCATCTCCCAAAAGTGTAGTGAGGCTATTAGCTTCACTGAGATATAGTAAGTGTGGTGGTAGGAACTTTAGGTTCTGCCAGTCACTAACTGCCTGATCTTCTGAAAAAAAGTAACTCTTGGAGTTTTGATTTCTTCCCTGCAGGGACAAAATAATAATTATCACTAGTGTTGTTATAAAGATCAACTGAGATACAGCACAATTTTCAGCATACAGCAATCTCTAAATGTAAACTAGAGGAAATTATTTTAGGCAAAAATATGATGAGTGAATGGAGTGAAGGTGCAATAAAAGTTTGATCCATGAGCAATGGGCAGGAAGTTTGAGACTCTTTTTCCTAAACATACAGGGCTGGACTAACCTCAAGTACATGGTGAAAGTGGGGGATAAAAATTAGAAAATCCTGGGACCCAGAACTTCTGAAAGGGTCTGGCTTTCTGCATTTGTCTAAACTGTTGCCTGACTTAGGGCAAATTATTTAATCTTTGTTCATCAGTTTTCCTGTCTTTATAACTGGGACCCATTAATTGATTCACCCTGTAAATATTTAGAGAAAACTCAGTATGGCCCCGTAACATGCTACTTTTTCTGCTAATTAAACTTACATCTAAGACAATAGATAATTTGGTAGTTAAGTATACAAACTCCTGCATTACCTTTGGATTGAAGCTAAACTCTCACTAGTTGTTTGACTTGGAGAAATTTATTTATACTGTCTGGGCTTCTATTTCCTCATCTACAAAATTGAAATGTTAATGATTTCTAGAATAATTCTGAAGATCCAATGATTTAAAGAGTGTTAAATCCTTATCATAGTCCCTGGAAAGGACCAGGAAATTGAGAAATATTAGCAGCTCCCACCTCCCCATTTTGCCTTGCATGATTTTATGGTGAAGACTTTCTACTGAGAGATACTAGGACAGAAGCACAAGTAATGTCTCCTGGGGGCATGGATAAATGTATCTTCTTCAGTACTTGAAGGACTTTCTGGTGAAAAGGCATTAGAAATTCTATGAACTACTACATATTTATCCAAGACCAACATAATGATGTTTCAATAGAGAGAAGAAGCCAAAGCTACAAGGGACTATTACTTCATCAGGTGGTGAGTTCCTCTGTCACTGCAGCTATTCAAATTGATGCTTCATAACATCCTTTCCAAGTGCTATAGATAAACTGTGAGAGAGACCTAAGGGAGCAGGGTGCACTGGGACAGTGCAGCTAGTGAAGTCAATTACAAGGGCCTACTTAAGAGGAAAAAAAGGAACTGGGCAGGTGCCACACTCCCAAAGCATGATGCAACTGGGCAGTCTTATCACAAATAGTCGTGTCACTGTGTGACGTTCTAAATCTTTAGCTGACGATCTTTAGCTTGTGGTCATAGCCATCAGTCAAGACCACTCCTCATATACCAGACTTGTTTGGGGGTCCACTTTCCCTTTTGAAAGTACAAAGTAGCCAAGACCACAGCAGCTACTCCAATTCCTCACTCAGGAGAAAAATCCAATGTTTAGATGTAAGTTCTTTCCCCATGGGAATAAAACCTCAGACATAGGACCACAACATGGTGAAATGTATGGGATTGGGAGTCAGGAGATTTAGGTTCAAGTCCCAGTCCTGTCACTTTTTGGGTATTAGCACAAGCAAATTGTTTAATCTCTCTGGGAATCTCTGGGAGCCCTGGCTCATCCATAAAGAGAAAATACTAATTCTCACTTGAATTTGAGAGGTACTATATGGAAAATGTTTTGCAGAATTATAGAAATTCTGGTTGTTTCTAAATAACCTCTTTTTCTAGGCTACGCCATAGATTCTGGCCTGGAGAGATGACTGAGAAAAACCACACTATGCTGCCTGAATTCTTCCTTTTGGGGTTTTCGGACCTCAGAGACCTACAGGGCCCCCTGTTTTGGGTAGTGCTTCTTGTCTACCTGATCACCTTGTTGGATCACTCCCTCATCATCATCCTCACACAAGCCAGCCCCGCCTTGCATTCTCCCATGTACTTTTTCCTTCGCCATCTCTCCATGGTGGAGATTCTCTACACCACCACCATAGTGCCCAGGACACTGGCAGACCTGGCTTTCTCATTCCCCAGGGTCATCTCTTTCCAGGGATGTGTAGCCCAGATGTATGTCTTCATTGTCCTAGGCATCTCAGAATGCTGTTTGCTCACAGCCATGGCCTATGACAGGTATGCTGCCATCTGTCGGCCCCTACACTACTCCACACTCATGAGTCAACAGGCCTGTATGGTCATGGTGGCCACCTCCTGGCTTATGGGCATCATCACAGCCACTACCCATTCATCCCTCATCTTCACTCTGCCTTTCCCCGCCCACCCAGTCATCCCACACTTCCTCTGTGACATCCTGCCAGTCCTGAGGTTGGCAAGCACTGGAAAGCGCAAGAGTGAAATCTCTGTGATGGCAGCCACCGTGGTCTTTATAATGGTCCCCTTCTCACTGATTGTTACTTCATATGCCTGTATTCTGAGTGCCATCCTGACTATTACTTCAACACAAAGCCGCCAAAAGGTCTTCTCTACCTGCTCCTCCCACCTGCTTGTGGTCTCACTCTTCTTTGGAACAGCCACTATCACCTACATTCAACCCCAAGCAGGTTCCTCTGTCATCAGAGATCGAGTCCTCAGTCTCTTCTACACAGTCATCACACCCATGCTGAACCCCATCATCTACACCCTTCGAAACAAGGAGGTGACAGGAGCCCTGCAACACATGATGAAAAGACAGGTCCTTTCACTCTGAAGGGACTCAAGGGATGTCTGCTTTCAGACTGCTCCTCCTCAGATTTGATATTTTATTGCTAGGCTAGTAGAAACCATGAAGCCAAGAAATAATGCCTCTGGATAGAGGCTTCTGAGACAGACAGACAGACAGACAGACAGAGAAGGAGGGAAGGAGAGGAACAGGGAGAGGGAGAGAGAGAGAGAGAAATCTATGTCTTCTCCCTTGTTACACAGTCCACACTCACTATCAGAGCATGGATTATTAGCATAAAATAAGAAAGATTTTGCTGCCTTGAAGAAGAATATAAACTTAGCATCCTCTAGATTTCTCTGAATCCCAGTATCCAGAGATCTATGAACTTGATACCCAACTAAATAGCCACTCAGAGACCATGGAGAAATTTACTTAGCCCATTGGTTGCCTTTCTTCCACAAGTGTGTCTTTGCCTACTTGGGGATGCATTTGTCCTACTTTTAGCCTTCAGGAGGAGTGCCTAAGAGTTCTAGATGTCAGATTTGCTCCTAAGGAAGACACCAGCACAAAATGAAAGATGATCAAGATATATTAAAAAAAGGGGTCATACATAAACAAAATATTTGAATCAAGAGATCTTATGACACATATCCAATAAACACGTACGAGTCCTATATACCAGATGCCTTCTATAAGGGAGCTCGTTAAGGATTCAGAGTTGACCTTGCAGCTGGGTATGGTGATATATGATTGTAATCCCAGCACTCAGGAGGCTGGAGCAAAAGGATCATTACAAGTTAAATATCAGCCTTGCCTACAAAGTGAGTTCAAGGCCAGCCTGAACTGCATAGTGAAACTATGCCTGAAAAAGACCAAAAAAGAAACCATATAACTGTCTTGAGAGGCAAAATTTATAACTAAAATAAAGATCTAGAAATGAGGATCATGGAAATAAAGCACTTTGAAGGTTGAGGTACTAATGCAACTGCTATGGAACCTCTCAGCAAGCTACAAATGGAGGTTCCTGATTTCCCTGGGTTTCCTTCCTAAGGAGAAAGTTAGAAAAGGCTGATGTGAAAATACAGACCATTCGAGGTAATATCTCCCTGGTCTCTCAGCCACTCACACAACCTCCATGTCCTCCATTTTTCACTACCTCCATGCCCTCCATACACAGCCTTCAGTAGTTATGGCTCTCAGTGAAGAATCCCAACTGCCAGCATCAGTAATAGTGAGACCCAGTCTTTCCTCCCACCACTTCCTGATCTTTAAGTTCTCCTTATCCTGCGCAGACATGGCTCTTCTGATAAACACAGGAATTAGTGTTTTCCTCTACATCCACACTATGTCTCTCTTCTCAGCTCCTGTGCCACAGAATACTCCATCTTCAGGTAGATTTTTGGGCCTTTTCACCAGATATTCAAACAGAAATTCCCCATAAGCATTTACTCAACACATCCATCTGGAAAACTGCTATTCATCCTTCAAGACTCAACTTGAGGATTTCCATGAAATTTGTTATTTGAGACAAATGTCATTACACTCCTCTTTATGCTTCTATAATTATAAACCTTTTTACAATTAATGATAACTATATTTTAATATTTCTTCATCTACTTCTAAGATATTGGCAACTTGAACACAAGCAAAGCAGACTCATTCCTTGTCATTCTCTAACTAGCTTGATGAATGTGATTGTATCATTCAGAAATGATAATGCTTATATAATCACTTGATAAATTCTAAAGAATTGTATAAAATTCTTTTTACTAAACTACTTAACCTTCATATCCTAATTAACTCCCAGAGACATTCAAAAATGCCAGTTCATAGTAAAGCCTCCAAAATCATTAAGCCTCCGCCCTTTAAAATATTCCACATTAACCTTTTTCTTCTCCAGCCCTTGATTTCTGACACCATCCGTAAGTGCTGACAACCTGACTGGCTGAACAACACAATGTCCTTTGCCTCACTGGCCACCAGCCTGATCCCCTGGACCTTTACCAGCACCCACATTAGGGGAGTCCCTGAGGACATCCTACCCAGAACCTGGAGGGTAGATACTAAATTTTCATTATCGTCACTCAGAATTTGATCTTCTTTCAGTGTTTACAAATTCTCCTATTTTAGAAGGAACAAGAAGAGAAAGTCTGGCTCCCCCTTTATCTTAAGAATGCTTTCCAGCGTCCCAGGCATGCCGTGTCTGTCCAACAATCAGACGCTCTCATGCCTAAATAGGATTGAATAGTTAGTACTCACAAGAGCCAGGAATCTACAGTCAGTCTCTCTCAGGTAGCAGCTAGGAGGACTGCAAGGGTAGTTGTGAGCCTAGAAATGGAATCTGGGCAAAAGCTGTTGAGAATGATTTGCTCAACTGACCAGGTTGTGTTTTGTAATTACATCTGGAAGCTCAACCAGCAGCATGACCTCCAACCCTCCCCCACAGCTCTGTGTTTTGTTAGTCAATTACTTTTGCACATCATCATCAGTCAAGGATTTTTTTATATCATAGATGTGAGGAATGAAAGCATCAGAGGGAAACTTTAAGTTTAGTAGGGAGGGAGGTGCGGTAGGGAGGAAGCTATCTAGCTCAGTTTTCAGAGATTAGCTACAGGGAATTTAGGATTAGATAACATTTTCAGACAAATCAGTGCCTAAATGGTAACACACTCCTAATATTCAGAAAATTACTTGGCAAGATCCCTGCATTCAAGATTCACAATCTAAGGCCAGGAATATAGCTCAGCAGTGCAAGCGCCTGCCTGGCAAATGCGAGATCTTGAGATCAATTTACAGTACCAAAAAAAAAAAAAAAAAAAGATTCACAATCTAATACAGCTTGGGATGGAGGAATGAAGTGGAGAAAAAACAAGAGAACTAAAAAAGCTAATGGGTGCAATCGTTAAGTCACTGCCTTTCGCAGTAACTGCCCCTGTAATCCCAACTATTTGGATGACTAAAGTTAGAACAACACAAATTGAAAACCAGTCTGAGCAACTTAAAGAGACCCTGTCTCAAAATAAAAAACAGAAATGCCTGGGGATGTATCTCAGGAGAGGGTGCCCCTGAGTCTGATTCTCAGCACATGCCACCAAAAAAAAGTCTTAATGTGTATTTGGAAGTTAATGATTCACAACAGTGAGAAATGTGTCTGGAAAAAGTAACTCAATCCAGCACTTTCACTCTTCCTCAAATCATGCACTTGTAGAAAGTGCCAACCTTGAGTGGTACAATAAGGTAAACAAGAGGGATTTGAAAGCATTTTGATAGGGCTTGACACAAAAAATGAAAGCAAAAAATTCATAACACTTTTTTACCAAGTTATAAAGAAAATTTAAAGTATACCAGTATGTCATCATTGATAATTTTATATAAAATTTACAAACATATCTTGCTTCTGTGAAGATAATTTTTTAAGAGACTGAAACAAAAGAGGCCAGAATAAAGCAAATCAGAACAGAACAATGTAAGCAACACAGCACTTCATAACAAGACAACCAGATATTCTTTTTTTTTTTTTTTTTTTGTCTTTTTATCGGTACCAGGGATCGAACTCATGACTGCTTGCTTGCAAGGCAGGCGCTTATGCCACTGAGCTAAATCCCCAGCCCCAAGACAACCAGATATTAACAGTAGTTACCATAATGTCTCTTTTTTTGAAATCGTTGATCATACCTTACCACACAGTAATATCAAACATAGCAAAATAGTATAAAACCATTCAAGAGAATGAAAGTATTATAGGACATTCAAAACCAAATAACAGAAAATGAACAATGACTACTATATTATCTCATTTCCCATAAAAAATTTGTTTATGTAATCACATATATTAAAATCCAATAAGACAAAACATGATAGAATCAATGGAAATAGAACAAAAGCATGGTAGGACTTCAAAGCAAGGTGATACTAAATCAGGAAGGCTGTCATCATGTCTTGTTTTCTTCAAAGTAGCTGCTTATACCATCACACATAATAAAATCAAACAAAACAGAATAAAACCATTCCAACCAATGAATGAAAACATTGTAAGACTTCAAATCAAAGGAGTGAGGAACCATGATTATCATAAAAACTTATGTACTCTTACCATTTCTTACACTAAGGAGATTATACAATATTTATACCTGTTTGATTTATTTTGCTTATGGTCTCAAGTTGCATCCATTTATTTATAAATATCTCAATGTGATCATTCTTTATAGCTGAGTAGTACTCCATTATATAAAAATATCACAACTTTTTTACCCATTTCTCAGTTTATGGGCACTTAGGTTGTTTCCAAGATTTGGCTATTACAAATTGTACTGCTAGAAACATGGGTGCACATATATCATTGTGATATGATTTTTCAGTTCTTCTGTGAATATGTCCAGAAGTGGAACAGCTGGGTCAAACAGGACTTCCAATTCTAGCTTTCTGAGGAATCTCCAGACTGAACTCCACAGTGGTTGCACCAGTCTACCCTCCCACCAACAGTGCAGAAGAGTTCATTTTTTCCCGCAGCCTTTCCAGCATTTGTTGTTGGTAGATTTTGTTCCCCTGCCCATGATTTCTGGAGTAAGATGGAATCTCAGTGTGGTTTTAATTTGCATTTCTCTAATGACTAATGATGATGAACATTTTTTCATGTGTTTATTTGCCATTTGGATTTCTTCATCTGAGAACTATGTATTCATCTCAGAGGTCTATTTTTGGATTTGGTCTTTGAATTTCGGGGGTCTGATTTTTTAATTCTTTGTATGTTTTAGGCATAAGTCCTTTGACTGATGGACATTCGCTAAGATTTTTTTCCCAATTTGTGGGTTTTCTTTTCACTATGCTGGAGACTTCTTTTGACATATGAAACTCTTTAATAAGACATGATCCCAATTATTAATTCTGGGAAATATTTCCCATGTGGTTAGATTCTTATTCATGAAATCTTTACCTAACCCTATGTCTTCAAGATTTTTACCTACTTTGTCTTCTAGTAGATTTAGTATTTCTGTTTTAATATGTAGATATTTGATCCATTTAGACTTTAGTTTAGTACAAGGTGA